ACCCCAGAACAGGGCAAAAAAGCAAAAAAAAAAAAAAAAAAAAGAAAGAAAGTATAAAGGTCTAAAAACTGAAAGCATGACACTGAGACTCCCCTAACCAGGTGCTGCCTATATGAAATGATCAAGAACAAAGAAACCCTGAATTCCTTTTAAATAAGGAAAAATGGTCCTTAGCCCTCAAAAAAAAAACAAGGGTCTAACCAGAGACTGATTGGTGATTGACAACTGCTGCAGATACAGTCAGGTGACATAAATGTGTCTAAGGAGAAGGTGGTCAAATTTAGCCAATGAAAGTAATCTCAAGTAAGGCACCCCTCCCCATTTTCACCTGTGTCATGTGTTATTTTACTACTGGAGTTTGGCAAAACTTCAAGAGGAGACTTTTGATCTTTGTCAAAATTCTGGTTATTTGGAAATTTTTTTTCCTTTTTTTTTTGAGACAGAATCTCATTCTGTCGCCCAGGCTGGAGTGCTAATTTTTGTATTTTTAGTAGAGACGGGGTTTCACCATGTTGGTCAGGCTGTTTACAAACTCCTAACCTTGTGATCTACCTGCCTCAGCCTCCCAAAGTTCTGGGGATTACAGGTGTGAGCCACCTTGCTGGCCTATCTGGAAATTTCTAAACAATGATCAAGTTCTACCACAATGCACATTTTCCCCTTGCAAAACAAAATACTTTGCTTTGACAGGGACAATTTCCAGTCTCTTATCATTGAAAGGTACAAAGGAAGCTGGGAAGTTGTTTTTTTTGTTTGTTTGTTTGTTTGTTTTTTTTTTGAGACAGAGTCTCACTCTGTTGCCAGGTGCTAGGCTGGAGTGCAGTGGCACAATCTCGGCTCACTGCAAGCTCCGTCTCCCCGGTTCATGCAAGTCTCCTGCCTCAGCCTCCTGAGTAGCTGGGACTACTGGCGCACACCACCGCGCCCAGCCAGTTTTTGTATTTTTAGTAGAGATGGGGTTTCACCATGTGGGCCAGGATGGTCTCAATCTCTTGACCTCGTGATCCGCCCGCCTCGGCCTCCCAAAGTGCTGGGATTACAGGCTTGAGCCACCGTGCTCAGCCGGATGTTGTTTTAATATCATACAGCACTTTTGAGTTCATTAGGCCATTATCCCCAGGGTTGGATTTAATCAAGATGAAAAAGCACAGGCTCAAAAGTCTTTTTAGTTGACAAGAAGCAAGTATTTGGCCCGAGATTTCTGTGTTTGAGTTGTAAGTCAGGTTCACAGAAAAGTAATCAGAAATTAGTCTGGCTAGAGACAAGAAAGAGCCTTGAAATAAGACGTGTGAGACCACAGGTTGTACGTGTGACCTAGCCTCTTAAGCAGCTTAGGGACCTTGAGCAAATTACTTGTACTTTCATCTGTAAAGAACTAGACTTGCAGGATTTCCAAAGCCCCTGTAACACTATCAATTTTTAATTGTCCAATGTTGTTCTTTAAGTAACTGATTCATTCATTCAACTATTTGAACACTCAGTGTTCACTGAGGAACATTATTTCATTCAGCCATCTATTTGAATACTTTCAATGAACAGAATAAAATAAGTAAAAATAACAGCTCTTGCCCTCCAGGAGTTGATAAGCTAGCCTCGGTGATCTGCCCACCTCAGCCTCCCAAAGTTCTGGGATTACAGGCATGAGCCACCTTGCCCTACCTATTTGGAAATTCCTAAACAATGATCAAGTTCTACCACAATGCACATTTTCCCCTTGCAAAACAAAAGACTTTGCTTTGACAGGAACAATTTCCAGTCTCTTATCACTGGGAAAGGTGAAGGCTTTACCCAACAGCTCCTAGCACAGGGCCAGGCACAGGTGCTTATTCATCCATGGTCACAAGGAGCCTATCAAATGATGAGGAAGGAAAGGAGTAAGAGAAACTCCACATAAGCTCGTAGGAGGAAGACAGGGTCATTTATAATTTCAGTCCACCAATGTCTATTGAGCGCCTACAGTGTGTTCCAGCATTGAGCATCCTGACACAACTCAGCCAGATCAGGCCTCTTACTTATTCTAGGTGGTAGAGAGAGAGAGAGGAAAAAAAAACCAAAACAGATTATCAAAGAAATAAAATCCAGGGCCAGTCATGGAAGCTCAAGCCTGTAATCCCAGCACTTTGGGAGGCCAAGGTGGGTGGATCCCTTGAGGTCAGGAGTTCAAGACCAGCCTGGCCAACACAGTGAAACACTGTCTCTACTAAAAACACAAAAATCAGCGGGCATGATGGCGCACACCTGTAACCCCAGCTACTCATGCGGCCGAGGCAGGAGAATCTCTTGAGCATGGGAGGCGGAGGTTGCAGTAAGCCAAGATTGTGCCACTGCACTCCAGCCTGGGTGGCAGAGCAAGACTCTGTCTCAAAAAAGAAAAAGAAATCTAGATTGAGAGAAATTCTATGAAAGAAAGAATAACAAATAACTGCTGGTGGCTGACTCCCATTAGTATAGGGCAGAGAGGGGAAAGTGTTTGGATATGGTGGTAGTTGACTGAGCTCAGACCTGAAGACAGGAAGAAAATTAGAACAGTCAGCATAGACGGCCTAGTGATCCAGCCAGCGAGGCTGGTAAATGCGGAGGCTGAGAAGGGCTGGTACAGACAAACCATCTGTGTGGTTGGAGCTTAAAAAGCAGTTACTTCCTGAAAGTATAGGGTGAATGCAGTAGTTTTCAACAGAGGGCAATTTTGCACCCCCCATGGGACATTTGGCAAAGTCTAGAGACATTTTTGTTGTTATGATGGTGGGGATGGGGAGGGGAGGGTTGAGAAAACTTGCACTAAAGGGATATTTCAGCCCAAATTTCAGTTTTAGTCATTATGTTCTAAACTCATGCTCTTGCCAGCTTGAATCGTTTTTTACCCTTGCTGCAGAAACAAAATAAGAACAGGTTTCAAGTGGCTCACTCTTGAATCTACTCTCTTGGGAAATCCCATTGGGGAGGTTCGTGGGACTCCAGGAACCTTTGGAAAACTCCACAGGATACGAAATAACTACCTAAACAGGTGGGAAAGGATCCAAGGAGCCACACCCTCAACTACTCCCACAGTTACCAGGGCAGAAAAAACGGAGAATGGGAGCAGAGCACAAAGGAGAACATATTCATGTTTTATTTGCATAATTTGCCTAATTACAAATTAATGTTACAAAGAATACAGAGGCAGGTCCAGGGTAGAGCAAGGAGGTTGCTGATGCCCTCAAGTATTGGAAAGCTCTGGCCTTCTGTCTTTTTTCTTTCTTTTCTTTTTTCTATTTTTGAGACAGGATCTCCCTCTGTCGCCCAGGCTGGAGTGCAGTGGCGCCATGGCCGCTCACTGCAACCTCAAACTCCCGGGCTCAAGCCATCTTCCCACTTCAGAATCCCTAGCAGCTGGAACTACAGGCGCGCGCCATGATGGCCCAACTAATTTTTGTACTTTTAAAAAATTATTTGAGACGGAGTCTCGCTCTGTCACCCAGGCTGGAGTGCAGTGGCACGATCTGGGCTCACTGCAACCTCCACTTCCCGGGTTCAAGCGATTCTCCTGCCTCAGCCTCCCGAGTAGCTGGGACTACAGGCGCGCGCCACCACGCCGGCTAAATTTTGTATTTTTAGTAGAGACGGGGGTTTCGCCATGTTGGCCAGGCTGGTCTCCAACTCCTGACCTCAAGTGATTCGCCCACCTCGGCCTCCCAAAGTGCTGGGATCCCAGGCGGGGCCCCGGCGCCGCGCCCCTCGGGCCTTCTTCTAACTCGGCTCCTCGGGCCCCAGAGGCTTTCGCTCCCCTCCCCCACGCCGCCCCGCGCCGGCCTCAGGCCTCTCTGGGACCCGCCGGCCTGGCGTCCTGGCCCGCCCGAGCCCCACGGTCCCTCGGGTCCTAACCTTGGCGGGCAGGCGTCTCCTCAGGAAGCTCTGGAGCAGGCTGTCGCTGTACAGGTGGCCCAGGAGGGCGGCCTCCGACCGATAGCCGCGTCAGGTTCTCGTGCAGCCCCCGCCTGAGAGGCTGCAGCCGACGGGCCTCGCGGGCCGGGGGCAGGTTAGCCGCCGCTTGCCCTGCTTTGCATATTCATGAAGTCTAGCGAGGCCGGTCGCCCTGGCCAGCCAGGGCCGGGTCATGAATTATTTATGAGGAAGCCTCTGGTCCCGCCCAGAAAGCCCTCGTTGGCTATTCAGGAGGCGAGGCGCGGGTTTGAGCCGGAAAAGGCCGTTGACGGCAGGTGGGAGGGAGGCGTCGACCAGCTGAGGTGAGGGCGGTTCTGACGCGAGGTCTCCGGCCGGAGAGGGCACTTGTGCGTTGTTAGCTGGCTTCATGTTAAACGTTTTTTTTTTTTTTTTCTTTTCTTATTGCTTAAGGCTTAAAGTTGGATTTGAAAGTATTTTTCGTGGGGGCCAAAGGTACTGGGAAGAGAAGCGGGAGGGCAGAAGGCTGAGGAGGAAGGCAAATCTGAGGCGATTTCCCCAGAACCGGACAGAGAGCACCCAAGTAGCTTTGAAATTCAGGTTGTTCAGGCCGGGCACGTTGGCTCATGCTTGTAATCCCAGCACTTTGGGATGCCAAGGCAGGTGGATCACGAGGTCAGGAGTTGAAGAGCAGTCTGGCCAACATGGTGAAATTCTGTCTCTACTAAAAATACAAAAATTAGCCGGGGGTGGTGGCGGGCGCCTGTAATCTCAGCTACTGGGGAGGCTGAGGCAGGAGAATTGCTTGAACCAGCACCCGGAAGGCGGAGGTTGCAGTGAGCCGAGATCGCACCACGGTATTCCATCCTGGGCTACAGAAAGAGACTCCGTCTCAAAAAAAAAAAAAAAAAAAAAAAAAAAAAAAAAAAAAATCAGATTTTTCTGGACATGAAATCATCAAACTTGCTGAGGAAGCAGCAGCTATAATGAGCCATGATGAGGCTGATGGGGCAGATGAAGTCTATGCCCTGCATTGGAGCGGGCCTTGCATGGTGGAGTTTTTGGGGTTTATCTTACCTGGGTCTCATTCTCCCCAGCTATTGAGGTTTTCTGCCAGGATCAATACCTGGTACAGGCCAAGAGGTGAGAGAGGTGGGGACGAGCCACCCCACCCACCTTGACCTCAGCTCCCCTTTCGATTTAGTGAGGATTTGCCAATTAGTCCCTGTGGACTTCAGTTCTCTAAACAGTTTAGAAGGTGAGAGTGTCTTGAACCTCAAGATTAGCCAATCACCAAAATATTTCCAAGTGCGCAGAGCACTGGACAGGCTGTGCAGTACATCGTGTACTCAGCTGGTAGAAATGAGGGGTGGTTCTGGCCACTAAAGGGGTTTTTAATCTCATCAGGATCATAATCTAATTTGTCCTCCATTGGATCATCAATCTGTTGAGGTAGGAACAATATTTTACATCTTGTAATCCTGCACATTGCCTGGCACATCATAGTTGCCTCGTAGATGTTGAATGAATGAATTGAAATAGCATGGAAAAGATATTAAACAGTCAAAAGAGCATGAACAAATAATTAATATAGTGGAAACCATTTACTCTGATTGAGCACAGATAGCGGAATTACCAGGGCCAAATGGAATTTGTTAAAATGGTGAATAATTTATTGAAGCAAGCTCTGTTGGAAGGTCTAAGTAACTGGGTGAACTTTGGCAAAACAGGTTCCCTCGCTTAGCCTCACCTTCCTTTATAGTTTTATGTTTAGGTTTAAATCCATGATCCATTTCGCGTTAATATTTGTATACAGTGTGAGATTTAGGTAAAGGTTCTTTTTGTTCTCTCTTCTTCTTTTTCTTCCCCCTCAACCTGCCCCCATGTCCTTTTGTTTCAGCATTATTTGTTGAAAAAAAAAGATCCTTCCTCCACAGAATTGGATCTTCTTTAAATGGAAGGGGTTGGAGGATGTCTCTGCTCCCTTCCAGCTTTATAAATCTGTTGAACCCATTTATGTTAACATACACCTCTCCTGAGTAAAGCCATCCTTAATAACATGCATGTGTAAGGAAGGTCATATAGTTGCATTTCAGAATCCAGCTATTGGATAGTGTTCACTTGATAGAAAGGGGATTTTCTTATAAAAAATTATTTTGGAGATTGAGAAAGATGGATAGAGTGCCTTCATAAATCAACTATGATAATATTTGGGAAAATGTAATAAAACTGGCTTTTGCTTAACTTGGAATGGTTTTAAAAGTGGTTTAGGCCTTAGTAAACTAAATAGCAGCTGTCTAATCTTCATGTGAATCTTGGATTCACACATAGTAGGGGTAAAATAGGAAGTAATTGTGCCACCATTTAAAATAGGGCAATTGAAGGCATGGTGTGGTGGCTCACATGTGTAATCCCAAAACTTTGAGAGGCTAAAGTGGGAGGATCACTTGAGGCCAAGAGTTTAAGGCCAGTCTGGGCAATGTAGTGAGACCCATCCCCCAACTCTGCAAAAATAAAAAATAAAATTAGCAGGGCATGGTGGTGCATGCCTATAGTTTCAGCTACTTGGGAGGCTGAGGTGAGAGGATCACTTGAGCCCAGAAGTTTGAGGTTGTAATGAGCTGCGATTATGCCACTGAACTCCAGCCTAGGTGACAGATCATGCTACTGCCTTCTATCCTGTCTCAAAAAAAAAAAAAAAAAAAAAAAAAAAAAAAAAAAAA